AGGGAAGAGGCCCCAGATAAGTAAAGCATTACTCAAGAAGAAGAACAAAGTGGGAGGCCTCACACTACCTGATTTTAGAACCTATTATACCACCACGGTAGTCAAAACATCCTGGTACTGGTACAACAACAGCTACACAGACCAAAGGAACAGAATTGAGACTCCAGACATAAATTCATCCACCTATGAGCAGCTGATATTTGACGAAGGCCAAAAGTCCATTAATTGGGGAAAAGACAGTCTCTTTAACAAATGGTGCTGGCATAACTGGCTATCCATCTGCAAAAAAATGAAACAAGACCCATACCTCACACTAGGCATAAAACCTAACTCAAAATGGATCAAAGACCTAAATATCAAATTGAAAACGATAAAGATCATGGAAGAAAAAATAGGGACAATGCTAGGAGCCCTAATACATGGCATAAACAGAATACGAACCATAAGTAACAATGCACAAGCACCAGAAGAGAGACTAGATAACTGAGAGCTCCTAAAAATCAAACAATTATACTCATCAAAAGACTTCACCAAAAGAGTCAAAAGACAACCTACAGACTTGGAAAAAATTTTTGGCTATGACAAATCTGATCAGTGTCTAATCTCTAAAATCTATAAGATACTGCAAAACCTCAACAACAGAAAGACAAATAACCAATTAAAAAACGGGCAAAGAATATGAAGAGGCACTTCGCCAAAGAAGACACTCAGGCGTTAACAGACACATGAAGAAATGTTCGTGATCATTAGCCATTAGAGAAATGCAAATCAGAACTACAATGAGATATTATCTCACCCCAACAAGGCTAGCATTAATCCAAAAAAAAGAACACAAAATAATAAATGCTGAATAAGTTGTAGAGACACTGGAACACTCATACACTGTGATGGGAATGTAAAACAGTACAACCACTTTGGAAATTGATTTGGCACTTCCTTAAAAAGCTAGAAATAGAAGTACCATATGATCCAGCAATTCCGCTCGTTGGAATATATCCTAGAGAAATAAGAGCCATCACATGAATAGATATATGCACACCCATGTTCACTGCAGCACTGTTCACGTTAGCAAAAAGATGGAAACAACCTAGGTGCCCATCAACAGACAAAATGGATAAACAAATTATGGCATATTCGCACAGTGGAATACTACACAACGATGAAGAACAACAATGAATCCATGAAACATAACATGGAGGAATTTGGAGAGCATTAATGCCGAGTGAATTTAGTCAGTCACAGAAGAACAAATACCATATAAGACCACTATTATAAGAACTCAAGAAAAGGTTTAAACACAGAAGAAAACATTCTTTGATGGTTACGAAGGTGGGGAGGGAGGGTGAGGGTTATTCACTCACTAGATAGTAGACAAGAATTATCTTAGGTGAAGGGAAGGACAGCACACACTACAGGGGAAGTCAGCACAACTGGACTAAACCAAAGCTAAGAAATTTCCTGAATACAATCAAACACTTCGAGGGACAGAGTATCAGGGGTGGGAGTCTGGAGACCATGCTTTCAGGGGACATCTAGGTCAACTGGCATAACAAACCTTATTAAGAAAATATTCTGCATCCTACTTTGGTTGGTGGCATCTGGGGTCTTAAAAGCTAGCAAGCGGCCATCTAAGATGCATCAATTGGTCCCAACCACCTGGAGTAAAGGAGCATGAAGAACACCAAAGACACAGGATAAGTCTTGGTACAAGAGACAGAGGGGGCCACACAGACCAGAGACTTCATCAGCTTGAGACCAGAAGAACTAGATGGTGCCCGGCTACCACCAATGACCACCGTGACAGGGAACACAAAAGAGAGTCCCTGATGGAGCAGCAGAAAGATGGGGTGCAGAATTCAAATTCTAGTAAACAGACCAGACTTAATGGTCTGACTGAAACTGGAGGAATCCCAGAAGGCATGGCCCCCAGACTCTCTGTCAACCCAGAGCTAAAACAATTCTCTAGGCCAACTCTTCAAAGATTGAACTGGACTGTGGAACATAGAATGATACTCATGAAGAGTGTGCTTCTTAGCTCAAGTAGATACATGAGACTAAATGGGCAGCTCCTGTCCAGAGGTGAGATGGGAAGGCAGAGAGGGTCAGGAGCTGGTTGAATGGACATGGGAAATCAGGGGTGGAAAGGAGGAGTGTGCTGTCACAGTACAGGGGGAGCAATTAGGGTCATGTAACAATGTATGTATACATTTTTGTATGAGAGACTAACGTGAATTGTAAACTTTCACTTAAACTGCAACAATAAAAAAATAAGAAAGAAAAAATAAAATTGACTACCCAATTTAACACATTGGGTAGTGCCCATTATTGAAAAAATCGCTAGGTTTTTAAGAGCATGTTGGTATTTTCCATGTGCAGTCAGTTTACTGATCTTCCTTCTCAGGGGCTGTGGCTGCCTTTGCTGTTGGTTATGTGAAAGTCAACTGGAATCTGCTGGGAGAGCTGGCACTGGGGGTCTTCTCAGGTGTCAATGCGGGTGCCTTGCTCCTTATGCATTACACTACCAACATCTGGGTGTGCTACGCTGGCTATTTGATATTCAAGTCAGGCTATATGCTTCTTATAACCATAGCAGTGTGAGTATCGCCATTTCTTTCAACCCCTAAAACGAAACCAACTCAACAGTCTTCTCTTTTTTTGTATTATTCCTACGGTTTCTCTGAGAACAAACTTTAAGAGATTTTAACCAACTGCAATATTAAATGTGCAACTAATCTCTCTTCTTCATTAATTTGTTCTCTGAAGATTGCTAATATTAATCATCAAGGGGACAAAAAAAAAAAAAAACCCTGTAAGTTATAAACTGAAAGCTGTAATACATTGCCATTTTAAGCGATTTGCCATAACAAGATGTGATATAACTTCAAACGACTAGGTTTAGATTTCATCCCTAACTTCACTTGTTTGCTTGGTAATCCTAGACACACACTTTAAGAAACAAATGATTCTCAAGAAAGTTACAAAAAGTTGGATGCTGAAAAAAATTGATGGAAAGGTTACAGGAAACTCTAAATCCTGTGTATCTTTTTAAAAAACAATTAAAAACACAGAGCTGTATGAGCACTCAGGGAATAATAGATCATGACGCAAAGGAAGGAGATGGAACTTGTTGGCGAGTTTATATTTTTATTGAGATGTCTCAGTTTCTTTTTGTCATGTGAGGATTTTGTTAAGGGAGGATTACATTTTTTCTTGCATCATTTTAAATATATTCAGAATCCATAGCTTTTACCTGCATTCCAAGGAAGAACTCTAAATAATGCACCTTGGTAGCCTTCTGCTAAATATTTAGTCATAAGATTTCAAAACTATGTAATTGTTTAAAATTAGTTACAAGAGTCACTCAATGGTTCAATCAGTCATGGTCTGGATTTTCCAAAGAATAAGTCACCTACCAAACATTGAAACTATCAATTCAGACAATTGGTAATAGAATGAATAACTCTCAAAAAATTCCTCAGATTGGGTGGTGTCTGTATTTGCATAAAAACTCACTGCTAAACAGTATCTAAAATCAGATAGTATTCAATATTCACAAGTTATGAGAAATTAGAGCAGTTACGTTTGATTTCTGGAAGCATTAAATTGGTTATTTCAGGAATTTTGCAATGTTATCCATAAAGATTCAGCCTTTAACTGGACTTTTTAACTCCCCTTTCTTTGCTCTGCCTGTTTGTCTGTACTAGAGGAGATTAAGAAAAAAAAGGCTATTAAAACACTGCTTTCTCTGCAGTCAGAGCCCTGGTGGCACAGTGGTTAAGAGCTATGGCTGCTAACCAAAAGGTCAGTGATTTCAAATCCACCAGCTGCTCCTTGGAAACTCTATGGGGGCAGTTCTACCCTGGTCCTATAGGGTTGCTGTGAGTCAGAATCGACTCAACGGCAACAAGTTTGGTTTCTCTTCAATTTCTGTCTTGAAAGAAAAGAAAAATCGTGTTCATGTTAAAATATGTTTCATGATGATTGTATATGTTTAATGATAGATTTCAGATTGCAGTTAATCTGAGTGTGGAACGCTATGCCCTGGTGTTTGGAATCGACACCTTCATTGCTTTGGTGATCCAGACCATTATGACTGTGATCGTAGTAGATCCAAGAGGGCTCAACTTGCCAATCAGCATTCAGGTAAGCTGCACTACTTCTGTTTTCCTACTGATATAGTTGATGGGAGTGTAGAATAAACTACATAACCTCTTCAAAGATTTTTCAACCTTACAACTGCCAACACTTAAATTTCTTGAAGAATTTCTTGGCTAGGCAAATTTAAAATAAGCAATTCCTTAATTATCATAGGATACACTCCCTGAGTGGTACAAACAGTTTGCAGTCAACTACTGACCTAAAGGTTGGTGGTTCAAACCCACACAGTGGCACCACGGAAGAAAGGCCTGGCAATCTGCTTTCATAAGATAACAGCCAAGAAAACCCTATGGAGCAGTTCTACTCTGTAACACGTGGGGTGGCCATGAGTCGGAATTGACTCAATGGCAGTGAGTTTGGTTAAATTATAATAGTACAACACACCAGGTAGGCGTTGGACAATAATCACAAGGAGGTCAGTATTTCCCTTTGCTCCTAAAGCCTCATCAGGTTCTGTTCTCACCATTACATCCCCCATATGTGTCTTCTTCCTGTCACCCTCCAGTTCTGAGGTTTACTGAGATTTCCACTAGGGAGGAGTGCATACCCACTCCCACTCCTTGCTCCACTGAGCAACTTTAAAATTAGCTCCGTTTCACGTTTTACATGCAGATCTAAAAAAAGAGGGATAAGGCAGGTAAGAAGTAACCTCATTGGTCAAAAATTCCTTCTTGGAGACATTGCATGTAGCATTGCACCATCCTTCAGATATAGCCACAAACAGATAAGTGAGATTTACGTGTTTTTTCACTATTGCTAATAGGTAGGATTTGAACCCAAGCAACCTGGCTCTAGAGCCCAACCCTTACCCACTGCACTGCTTACACTTTTACACCTGGGTCTTCTAAATATGGGAGAGGAAAGTTTTGCACAAATCTAAATGACCCGTATTAGGATCCTGGGTCTCAGGTACCCCTGCTCCAAGCAGACAGCATCATTACATATTATCAATGACATAGGTGGTCATATTTTCTTAAACATTTTATTTATTTTTGGTGGCAATATACACAACCAAACACAAGTCATTCACTACTTCTACATGAGCAGTTCAATGACACCAGTTACATACGTCACACTGTGTCACCATTCTATCCCTACCCATATTGTCTCCTCACCATTAATTTAGGCCCTGTGCCCCTTCACGTTCTCATCTGTGCTTTAGATTAACTGCTGTCAATTTAAACTCATGTAGATAAATTCCTTACAGGAGCACAATGCTCAAGGCAAAACATCTTTATTAATTGGGCTTAACTGTTTAGTTTCACAATGGCTTCATGGGATAGTTTTGGTTCAAGGTTTAATGATTATGATGGTCATATTTTACTTGTGACTGATTATTCTGTTTCTCTCCAGTTTTTAGTGTATGGGAGTTATTTTGCAGCAATTGCTGGAATATTCCTAATGAGAAGCGTATACATTATGTACTCAGCCAAACGAGGAAAGCAAGTGCAGAGCTCTGCTACAAGTCAGAATCCAGACGATCCACACCCAGAGGAACAAACCATCAGAGTGACAATCGGAACAAAGCTCTAGCCTTATCGCATCAACCTCTGTGGCCTGGTAGCATGGGCTCTGCTCGCCCCAAAGTCCCTGAGTGATAGATAGTGGGCTCTGTTTTGTCAAATTGACATGGTGTGCAATTCTGGACTCCAGTGAAGCTTTTCAAAACCACAACAGAACTTCAGCTTTAGACCAGATAACTATGTGCCCAGCTGGACAGGGCCCATCATCCCAATTAAAACAACGCACATGGGGGACCCCAATAAATTGTAGAGACTGAAAAGTTCTGGTTTTGATCACTTGCAAGGATATGAGAAAACTCCAGCTGTCCAGGAGTAGATGTTCCCCATTTGTGAGAAGAAATACTAACAGACTGGCCTTCTCGCTTGGGATAGACACTTGTCTGATCTTACGAAAACTGGCTGCACAGAGGACATTTCTTGTCACATGAACTCTTTTCCTTCCACTTCCGTTAAGTATATTTCCATATAATTTACAGTTCTCTGAGAGAATGACAAAGTTTGGTCCCATTTCTAAGGATTCATCTTCACCCCTAATAGTATAGCACTACTCACACACCAGTATTTGATAATTTCTTCATGATTATTTTTCTTTGTGTGCTCTGTTGAGCTCTGTTGTTGAGAAAGTCTACCTCAGGAGTAACTCCAGACACTCCTACATGTCTAAAGAACGACATTCACATCATTGCCCTGGGAGAGGCAAATGACCCTTCTCCGTACCAAGACCACAGATAAGGTGTTCTGATGCTTTGTCAACATGATATCTATCTAAAATTGAAAAACTTAAGAATTTCCAGGGGTTCCTAGAAGTATTTTTTTTAAATAAGAAAACACTGGTGGAAAATATTTTTTTAAAAAACCTAATTTTTAATGTCAGAGATTGTGCTAAAGAATGTGTGCAAAAATATTAGAGAGTCTTTCTGATCTGTTGAATTGTGCTGAAAGTTTTCTGAGCATATCTATCCTTCAGCAGAGGATGCATCAAGCAGCCTGCCACTGGGAATGAAGAACACTGATTCCTGAGATTTGTGATTCAAATATACTTTTATCCAAATCCTAAATTTTGATCACTGGACCAAAAATAAATTCATGAAATTCACTGGCTTCCCCATTGCACAGTAGAGGGGTTAAGAGCACAGACTTGGAGCTGGAGGTTGGAGAGACCAGGCTTAGATCCTGCCTGTGTAATTTGAAATCCAGGCAGGTTACCAAAAGAAGGCTGAGTTCTTCACTTATTAAATGGAAACAAGGCTCACTTAATAAGGTTGTTTTGAGAATTAAATTATATTAATGTGTAACATTAATTGAATTAAGGTCTAGAACATAAAAATGCCCAATGAATGATAGATCATATAGATATGCTCTATCTAACAAGCAATATCTAGATAGGGAAGATAAGAGAGGAAAGCATTGATTCACAATGAGTACAATGCGTGACCTAAACGCATCCCACATGTCTTGGAAAAGAAACCTGAATAGTATAAAGGTGTCACGTCTTGCAAAATTCATTTCCCAAATTATTGCTCTCTACATTACCATGAAAATTCCACCATTTGTTTAAACTTGGACAAGATAATCCTAAGGTATATTTAGAAGAATAAAGAAATTAAAAAAAAATAAAATAAAACAAACAAATAAATGTTTAAACATTTTACACACATAAACATATGGGAATGTTTAAAACATACACTTAAATGTTTAAAACATATTCACAAAAAATGTTTAAGCAGATGGAAATGCCTACCTTGTTCTTGGATAGGAAGCAAAGAAACATAAAGATGCCAGGTCCCCCTAAATAAATTTACAAACTTCGGTCCCGGAAAAAATACCAACATACTAGTTTTCAGACCAGCAAGGATGATACTAAATTTCACCTGGAAAATTAAAAGAACTAATAAAATGCTTTTGTAAAGTGGGAAAATATGTTTAAATTATTTGCAGAGATTAAATTCCTACTCTAAACTCTTAATTATGGCAACATAGGTAGAAGCATAAACAGACCAATGAAACAGAGTAGAAAGCTTTGAATTAGTCCCTGATTCATATTAAATTTTAGACTGATAAATATGTTGTCGTTAGGTGCTGTGGACTCGGTTCCAACTTATAATGACCCTGTGTACAACAGAACAAAACACTGCCCTGTCCTGCGTCGTCCTCACAATCATTGTTACGCTTGAAGCCATTGTTGCAGCCACTTTGTCAATCCATCCTGTTGAGGATCTTCCTCTTTTTTGCTGACCCTTTACTTCACCAAGCATGATGTCCTTTTCCAGGGAATAGTCCCTTCTGATAACATGTCCAAGGTACATGAGATGAAGTCTCACCATCTTCGCCTCTAAGGAGCATTCTGGCTGTACTTCTTCCAAGACAGATTTGTTCGTTCTTTTGGCAGTCCATGGTATATTCAATATTCTTCGCCAACACCATAATCCAAAGGCATCGATTCTTTGGTCTTCTTTATTCATTGTCCAGCTTTCACCTGTGTATGATTCAACTGATAACAATAGCATCTCATATAAGTGACAGAAAAAGATGGACTATTTAACAAATTAGGTTGGAACACCCCTCCCCGCCCAGGGAAAAAAATAAATTGGACCCAAATGTGCTAGAATAAATTCTAATTGTATCCATATGCAGATGTAAAAATAAAACTGTAGAAGTACTAGAAGAAAATATGAAAGAATTATTTTATAACTTCTTAAAGTAACATAAAATCCAGAAGTCATAAAAAAGCCATAACATTGACAGCATAAAAATAAACTTCTTCAAGGAAAAAAATAAATAAATAAGCAAAAGACAAATGATAATTTAGAGGAAATAGTGCAACTCATATCAAAGAAAAAGAGCTACTTTCCCTAATTTATAAATAACCAATATAAATTGATAAGAAAAAGATCAATGACTAAATAAGAAAATGGACAAAGGAAATGAACAGGGAATTCAGAGAACTGGAAATACAAATGGTTCAAGCATATAAAAGATGATTTAATTCATTGATAAGAGAAATGTAAATTAAACTACACTGAGATATCATTTTTCACCTATCAGATTGGAAAATAATCCAAAAGTGTGACAATATACTTGACAATATACTGTTAGCTGGAATGTGGGTCAAAAGGCAGTCTCAAAGATTGCTGGTGGGAATGTAAACTAGTATCATTGTTACAAAGGAAAATTTGGCACTTTCAAAAGTACATATGTATAGACTTTACCTTTCCACCTATCAATTTCTCTGCTAGAAATATGTACTACAGATATACATACTTGCATGAATGGGAACTGACATATATAAAAGATTTTTCATCACAATATTGTTTTCAAGAAAAAAGGATTGGAAACACTTTAAATTTCACCAAAAGGATACAGGAAACATGTATTATGGTACATTCATATATTCATCTGTAATAATAGTCATCAATTTTTTAAAAATGAGGAAGATCTCTACATAGTGATACAGACAGAGCCCTAAAATAGATTATTAAGTGGAAAAAAGTCAAGCACCAACATAATAATGAATGTAGTAGCTCCTCATTTCTGTAAAAGTAAGGAGACAATAAATATATGTATTGGCTTATATATGCATGCAATTTTCCTGGAATGAAATGGGACTAATGAAAAATGGAAGGGACTGATGGGAAATGGAAGAGAAACTTTGCCTTTTCATAGCTTTTGATGTTTGCACCATATGAATTGTTGTTAGCTGCCTTTGAGTCAAGTCTGACTCATGACGACCCCATGGCTCTGTAGAGTTTCAAGGCTGTGATTTTTCAGAAGCAGATCACCAGGCCTGTCTTCTGAGGCACCTTTGAGTGGGTTGGAACCGCCAATCTTTCAGCTAGTAGTCGAGTGCTTAACTGTTTACACCACCCAGGGACCTTATTGTATGAACTGCCCCTAAAATTAAAATACTAATTTAATTACCTCTGGGGAAAGAAATAAGCAATGAAGAATGAGGGGCTGGAGGGTTTTTTTTAATATGGAACTATTCTGATGCATTTATATTCTTTGTCATGTACATGAATAACCAAGTGTATATTTATGATTAAAAGAAACAACAGAAAACATAAGTAGACCTGACAGTAAAAAATTCTGAATTAAAAGAAAAGTATCTTATTAAAGAAAAGGATTATTTTTATTATTATTTTAATAAACCCTTGCTTAAATGCCAGCCACTGTCAAAGAAATCAGTTGATTACCAACCACAACTGCAGTTCCTCAGTCAGCAGAGAGGCTCAGAGACATTAAGAAATTAAGTCCAAGGTCAAACATGTAGGAAATAGTGAAGTTGCAATTTGAATTCAAGTGTGTCTGATCACAAAAATTGTAGTCTTTCCACTCTATCACACTTCTCTTTTCATTAAGCAGCAGTGGAGAGCAATATATTAATTCATGAAAAGTAATGACCTCTAGAGGGCCCTATTAAACAGCAGCATTTCAATGTATTGAAAAGCTTAGGAAGATGGGGTGTTGTGGGTTTTAAAGGTATGTTTTGGATTAACTCGGTTAACAAGAAAACATTTTGATCTAAAGAATCATTATGTTTTGAAAAGAATTTGTCATGTAACTACACTTATTGGGTACCCTAAAAGTCAGTGATTTTCCTTTTGAAGAATTCAAAGCCTAACAGTAAGGTGAATAGGGCCAGGAGCCCTGGTAGTACAGTGGTTAAGCGCTAGCCTGCTAAACAAAAGGTTATTAGTTTGAACCCACCAGCGAATCTGGGGGAGAAAGATGTGGCAGTCTGCTTCTATAAAGATTAAAGCCTTGGAAGCTCTACAGGGTAGTTCTACTCTGTCCTGTATGGTTGCTATGAGTCGGAATTGACTTGACGGCAGTGGATTTGGGTTTCTGGTTTTAAACAAACACATCCATTCAGTAAGAGATGCTCTCGATCAGAATACAAGATTCAGTAGGCACACAAAAGGAGGACTGTCTTAGTCATCTAGTGCTGCTATAACAGAAATACCACAAGTGGATGGCTTTAACAAAGAGAATTTTTTTTTTTTTTCTCACAGTCTAGTAGGCTAGAAGTCCAAATTCAAGGTGTCAGCTCCAGGGGAAGGCTTTCTCTCTCTGTCAGCTCTGGAGGAAGGTCCTTGTCATCAATCTTCCCCTGGACTAGGAGCTTCTCCACACCAGAACCCCAGGTCCAAAGGACATGCTCTGCTCCGGGTGCAGCTTTCTTGGTGGTATGAGGTCCCCTTGTCTCTCTGCTCGCTTCTCTCTTTTATATCTCAAAAGAGATTGGCTCAAGAT